AGCTGCTAAGGCGTGAGCCACATACACCTGAGCTGGTGGGTTCGAATCCAGCCCAGGCCCACCAAACAACAATGATGGCTGCAACCAAAAAGTAGCCGGGTATTCTGGCGGGCACCTGTGGTCCCAGCTACTTGGGAGGCAGAGACAGGAGAATTGCTTAAGCCCAGGAGTTGGAGGTTGCTGTGAGCTGTTATGTCACAGCATTCTACCCAGGGTGACAGCTTGAGACTCTGTCTCAAAAAAAAAACAAATTCAACAAGTGTTTATCAAATATACACTGGGACAGAGTCTTGCCCTCACATAGCCTCCTATGCCCTGGTAGGGGACATACAGTGAACTAATTACACATTTGCTATAAGGTCATGTGGTGACAAGATAGTAGGGGATATTGGGCTATTTTATAGAACTGTCACAAAAGATCGCTCTGTGGAGGTGATATATGAACAGAGACCTGCAAGGTCTGAAAAGTTTGTGAACTCACCCTAGATAAAGTGCTTTGAGGGGTGATCAGTGCATAGCTTCCCAAGGGGGAGTACTTCAAAGGTGACCACGGGACTCTTCAGTGATGGAGTATGTAGCACTTTTTCTGGGATGAATTCACAAACTTAATTGTCTGACATCATAGATCGAATGAGAGAGGGTTTTCAGGGAAGTAGAACAGCAGTGGTTTTCAACCTTCCTAATGCCATGACCCTTTAATACAGTTCCTCATGTTGTGGTGACCCCCAATAAGAAAATTATTTTCGTTGCTACTTCATAACTGTAATTTTGCAATTGTTGTGAATCGTAATGTTAGAAAGCCTGACTTTTTTTTAATTTCAAGTGTTTTATAACTCTAAAATCCCTTAATTGTTTGCACTTGTTTGAAAGCTAAGCCGAATCACATAATCTTGTTTCTAGAGTTCCCTCATATTTAAAAAAAAAATAGAGAAATGACTCTTTCATCATCTTTGAACTTTTCATTTAGCACAAAGTAAAAATTATATGGGTATAGAAATATAATAGAAACTTATAGAAATTATAGAAAAAAGTATAGAATATATAGAAAATATAATAGAAAATTATATGGGTTTAAATAGAAATATAATTTACTCCTACATAAGCATGAGAGTCAATTGCTATTTTTTCCAAATCAGGGAAGGGGCCGTAGGTTGGGGGCTCATTAACTTATTTTCCAGAAATTCTATTGATGAACAATTGATGATTATGAGAGTCTTAGTACTGCAGTCCCCAGTCCCTGGGCTGTGGCCTATTAGGAAGCAGATTGTATGTACAGCAGGAGGTTAGTGAGTGAAGCTTCATCTGTATTTACAGCCATTCCCCATTACCTCCTGAGCTCCACCTCCTGTCAGATCAGGGGACATTAGATTCTCAGAGGAGTGTGAACCCTACTGTATGAGCTGTGTGTTTGCAGGATCTAGGTTGCACACTCTTTGTGAGAGTCTGATGCCTGAAGATCTGAGGTGGAGCTGTAATGCACTTGAATCATCCCCAAACCATTACCTTGGCCACTCTAGAAAAATTCTTGTATTCCATGAAACCATTCCCTGGTGCCCAAAAGATTGAGGAGTACTGTTTTATTAGTAGTAGTATATCATAATTATAGTCTTATTATTAGGGACAAATTTGAATCCTTGTAGCTTCTAATTTTTGTTCAGAATTTTGCCTGTTATATAGAGCATCCTGTCCCCTGTCCCACCTTGGCAGAGCCCTTTATATCTAAAGGCCACTGAATCTTTTGTATTAACCTGGAGAGAGTTTTGGAGAACATTATCTCAAGTAAAGTATCACAAAAATGGGAAAGCAAGTATCCAGTGTATTCAATACTACTATGAAGCCAAGAGATGAATTATTCCATGCCCACACAAATCAAGAAAAACTCAATTTAATTCAGGTTGGGAGTGGGGACCAGTGCTCTCATCCAGTGGGCACAGTGTGAGAGTATATGGCACGCCTCCTGGGTGAAGGGCACAACTACAACAGGGACCTTACCAAATAAATGCAAACATTGAAACCCAATCATAGGTACCTTCATATTAATCGGAAATAAATAAATAAATAAAAGCCACCTATGCCATAGGTCCGTGATGCCCTCTGCTCATGGCCAAGCTTCCTGAGTTCTCTTCGGTCACCTGCTTCCCAGGCTCCTCCGCATCCAGAAGTTAATCCTTTTCTCCTCTCATCTACCAACAAGTGGCTCCGTTAAATGTGGTGCCAAGGATTGAAAATGAGAGACGTGCCATTTAAGCTGCCTTCCTTGTTTCTTCCTCATGAGATAGTGGTATTTTTCCTTTTTTCCCTCTCAAGTTCCTTCTTCTCCACGAGTCCCTTGCTATTTGTGAATAACATTTAGCTTTTTTTTTTTTTTGGCTCCTTTTCCTGAAAATATAAACAGACTCGATGTTTCCTACCTAATTTTCTTTTTCATGCCTCATCTCACCTTTGTTCCCCATCTTTAAGCTTTCCATTTGGGCATGTGTTTTTCTTTAAATCGGTAGCATTTGGCGCAGTGATCAATTATCTTGGGTAATTGCTCTTCATTTAGGGCTCCCCATTCTTTCCCATTAGAGACCAGACAGGAACGTGGCTTCTGTTGACCAGGTGCACCAGATCTCTTACTTATCCCCAATTTGCCATTTTGCAGTTCAGAGCTTAAGAGCTCGTTCACAGAAGGGCATAATTTGAGCGGCTGGTGTTGGCTCAGTGGGGGCAGCTGGCCCCTCTGTCCTGTGCCCTCCTGGCTGTAAGGGACTTAGCACCACTTTGCCCTTAGCTCACTCTCCTCAGGCTCTCCCAAGTCTCCTCCTAAATACACAAAAACACTTTTTTGTGTTGACGGGAGGGTCATGCATCTTTACAAATCCCTGACCTAATTAAACTTTCTCCTCCAGCTCCCAGGTATCTTGGTAACGGTCATCCACTTTGTCATTCTCAGGTTGTAAGATGAAGCTAATGGCCCTTTCTCATTGCATCTAACCGCACTGGGCTTTTTAAACTCCTCTGTTCAACGTCCCCCTTGACTGGGTAACATTATTTGCTGCTGTTATAAATGTGATTTCTTTCTGAGTATTAGACATACGCCCTAAAAATACAGTATGTTCAGAGTTCCTGTGCTGTGTATGTAAGAATTCAGATGAGTGGAAAGTGGGCGTTGGAAGAGAGAGTACCCTCTGTGGAATCGTAACTTAAAATTCCAGTCAGCGAGCCTTTGGAGATGTAGATGGAGGAAGCCAGCTCTTCTTTTGGACGGCTTAATGATCTGTAGTTAATAGGGAGAGGCTGATGGGCAGATGCGGTACAGCTGGGTTTAAGTCAGCCTTTCTCAGCTCTCAGAATGGCACAGTGATTATGACCATTGAGACACACGATCCCACCCAGAATCAAAGGCACAAAGACTTGGCAGTGGTGTGAGGCTGCCACAGGCTGGGCAGTTGCCTGCAGGACAGATCACCCCTCCAACAAGTCTGGGGAGAAGAGTGCCAGGTTGAGGGCCAACTTCCTGAATGCACCGATTTCACTGAACTTGGAAGAAACCGGGTATGCTCTTTTGGTAGCAAAATGCAAGTCTGATCGCGGCTGGAGGCGGCTGATTACCCTGGTTAGTGACATAGGCCTTGATGTGAAGTTGGCTCAGAGTTACAGTGTGCTGGGGTATCGGGTCCATTTCCAGTTTCCAACATCTTGTTATCTTCCCTCAAAAAGCCCAAGTGACTTCAACCCCAGTAACAAAAAAAATAAGCTTATTCAAAAATGGGCAAAGGACTTGAATAGAACGTATCCAAAGAATGTGTATAAATATCCAGTAAGCACGTGAGATGTTGAACAGCTAGCTAATCATTAGGGAAATGAGATGCAAATCAAAAGCAAAATGAGTTACCGTCTCACATCCATTAGGATGGTTATTTTCTTTCTTTTTTTTTTTTTTCTTTTGAGACAGAGTCTCACTCTGTCACCCTGGGTAGAGTCCTCTGTCGTCATAGCTCACAGCAACCTCAGACTCTTGGACTCAAGCGATTCCCTTGCCTCAGCCTCCCGAGTAGCTGGGACTACAGGCACCCACCCCAACAACCGGCTAGTTATGAGGATGACTATCATCTAAAAACACAAAATTACAAATGTTGATGAAAATGTGGAGAAACTGAAACTCTCATACTCTGCTGATAAGAATGTAAAATGGTGCGGCCACAGTGGGGAAAGGAGGGAAGTTCCTCAAAAGGTTAAAATAGGAGCGTCATGTGATCCAGCAAAGCCCCTCTAGTTACCTACTCAGAACAATTGAAAGCAGAGTCTTGAAGAGGCATTTGTGTGGCCAAGTTTCAAAGCAGCATGAGTCAGTCACAAAAGCCAAAAGGTGGAATCAACTGAGCAACCATCCACAGATAAACGGATAAACAAAATGAGATACATACATACAGTGAAATATCATTTGTCCTTAAAAAGGAAGGGAATCCCGACCTTGGGGACTTTATGCCAAGTGAAATACACCACTTACGAAAGCCAAATTCTATATGATTCCACTCATTCTAAGCACCCAGAGGAGTCAAATCCACAGAGACAGAAAGTAGAGTGGTGGTTGCCGGGGCTGGTGGAGGGAGGAAATAAGAAATGTTTAATGCATACAGAGCTTGAGTTTTGCAAGACGAAAAGTGTTCTGGAGTCAGATGCAGGTAATGGTTGTACACAACAAAGGGAATGCATTTAAAGCTGCTGAATTATACACTTAAAAAATGGCTAACAGGGTATTCACAGTATACAGAGTGGCCATAAGTTGGGGTGCAAATTGCACACTATTTTAAATTGCACTTGGACTTTATGGCCACCCTGTATGTGTTTCACCACAATTTTTAAAAGTGCAAGAGAAGGATGCCACCTTCTGTCAGCAGCCCAGGCTTTGAAGATTACAAACTAGAAATATAAGGGGGGGGGGGGAAGCCAATGGAATGGAACTTATCTTTATATGAAACTAATTGCAAATATGCTCTTTTTTTTTTTTTTCGGAGTCATTTTTCTCTCAAGAAGGGAGCTGCAGCCTTAGGGATTGGAACAGACAGCGTGATTCTGATTAAATGTGATGAGAGGTGAGCAGGCATCTGTAACCCTTGTTGGTCAGTGACTTGTGAATTCCACAACAAATACCTTTCGGTCTGAAGACAGGAGACGACCGCAGGGCAGCCAGCCGCTGCTGGCTGCTCTTTTGTTTTTAACCTGTTTGGAGCCTTCAGAGGTTGTGCCTCGATACTGTCAGAGGCTCTCGCAGCCTTTGAATCAGAACCTTTGTTAAATGAATCAAAATATTCTGCACGTTCAGAATCTGCAGGAGCACATTCATCACCTGGGCTCCTTAGCAGCAGCAGACAGCTCGATCTCTGATTTATGGCGGCATCATCACGTTCAGCATGATGACCGATGTAAACTTGATGAGCTGATTACGGGAGGTAGGGGGCAGTTTGGGGAGCGGAGGAAATGGCACACCAGTAACTCCACAGTTCTGTGCTGGAACTAGAGGACTCCCGGGGAAAATCCCTGTCTCTATGGGCACCTGGGTTTCCCGGGCGCTCTGGGATTGAGGTGCTGCTTTGTGGTGGAGATTTTAAAGTATTTTTAGAATATCCATGTAAAGTATCACTGGCCTATAGGCCAGAGCCTCGTAAAAACTACATCCAGTCTTGAAAGGCTTAAGTAACAACTTTCGCTAAATTGAAAGGAAGCCACTCCATGAACCATTCTTATATATTTATTAGGCAGGGGTGCACTGATTGGCTACCATGTCACTAGGTTCTAGAGAACCATGAGGCTGGACCCCAATTCCCTGACAATGATGTGATCTAGGTGGGAAAATGCACTAGTATCAGTAGGGGGCAGTATATGGTTGGACCGCACAGCATGGGTGAGCACGTGTTCACAGGACAGGCATAGAAAACTTCATGTAAGGGACAGGCGTTAACTGAACTTTTAAAATTAGAAGTTAGATAGGTGCAGGGGAAGGCAGGGGGATTTACAGAAGACTCGACACCAGCAGAAAAGCTGCAGAAGTAGCAGGGCTGAAGGCGAGGAGCCAGGCCTGAGCAGAGGCAGCAGGAGGGGTCAGCCCTGGCTGGTACAGTTGGTCCCCTGGACCCCTGAAAGTTCTGAAATTCCAATTGATTAATAACCACATTCACCTCTGGGTGAGGAGGTTAAAGACAATTGTCACTTTTTGTTTATACCTTTCTGTTTTGCCTGATTTTGTTTGCTTGTTTGCAAAGAACATACATTGTTTGTACAAGGCAGGTGTTACCGGACAAAGACCGGGTCTGGCTGCCTGTCACTGTCAGCCAGGGGCTGAGATAGGGATTAAGTCCACCACACTTTGTCATCCAAAAGTCAGCAATCCAGAGAACAGCCAGAGTAGTCTCTCAGTTCTGTTCTGACTCAGTTACAGTTCTAATAATTTTTATAATAAGAATATAAGGAAACCTAGAAACTTTTAACTGTATCTGATAGGAAGCAGTCTTCATTTTAACAGTGTAAAATGTTTAAACAACAGAAAGGTAATTTGCACTTTAACCAAAAGAGAATCATCAAAGAAAACATTATATCATCAAAGTAACCTTTACTGATATCCAAACACCTATGGTCTATGTGTGACTACTTCCCCCAATGTCTTTTGAGACAAACATCCTCACAATCACAGTGAAACCTTAACTAGATAATCTTGCAAGGTGTGTGGAGAAGGCTGAGCCAACTAAGGTCAGCTGTAATGCCCCAGCTCAGCTTCTCAGACTCCATCTTGCAGGCTGTTTTCCTGGCTTCAAGGGGATGGAGGAAAGGTGTGTTATTCTTTCCTTTGGGAGCAGTGGAACTACAATTAGGGCTTGAGCTTGATAGGTCTGGGAACAAGGTAATTTGAAAGCATTTGTATTCAAGAAGGACATGGATGAAGTTGCCCTGGAGGAAGCAAGGAAGGGGAGACGGTCTCCAGCCAGGTAGGCCAGGTGGGAAGTTCTAGCAATGGGACAGGCAAGAAGTGTGAAAAAGACCGGGGTGAGGCTGCACATTTTGAAAAATGGAGCTGCCTTATAATTTTAAGGTTGCCAATGTGCCTCATTAGCAAGGACTTAAGAGCCAAATTCGAGGTGAAAACTCAAAAAATTGCTTAATCAGAAACAAGGTTTAGATGACTTTAAAATTTTTCTTAATCCGTAGTTGATCTGTTTTGAGTAAGAAGTCTAGAATTCGGGGAAGACCCTCCTAGATAAGCCATCCTGGCCCTCCTCGCTGCCTAGGCCAGAAGCATTCTTGAGTTGAATCCTAGTGGGCTGATGGGGCATCCTCTTGCCTCCACTCCTAAAAGCATCCTGATGGCCACTTCTGCTACTGTGAAAATCGGGTGTGACAATAAAAAAGATCTTGCACAAGTCCACCAAGCCTCGTGGGAACAAAAGGCTGAGGACCCCTGAACATCTGCAAGAGAAGTGCAGGCCTGGTCCAGAGGGAGAGCTAAGGGCAGGGACCAGGCTGCCAGGACAGGCACCAGGAGCTTGTCACCACCAACAGGAGGGCGGAGGAGGCAGGAGGCAGGAATGCTGGAAAGCCAGTGGGAGTGAGAATCACTGGCCAGGTGGCCTCAAATCTGAAAATCAAAGAATGTTATTTCAATGATTTTAGAGGCCATTAGGAAAACTATAATGCTTAAACTATAACTTTAAAAGTACTGGGTTATACAACTTAAAAGTACTGGGTTTTTGTTTTGTTTTGTTTTTGAGACAGAGTCTCACTCTGTCACCCTGGGTAGAGTGCCATGGCATCATAGCTCACAGCAATCTCAACTCTTGGGTTTGAGCAATCCTCTTGCCTCAGCCTCCCAAGTAGCTGGGACTACAGATGCCCACCACAATTCCTGATGAGTTTTTCTCTATTTTTAGTAGAGACAGGGTCTTGATCTTTCTCAGGCTGGTCTCGAACTCCTGAGCTCAAGCAATCCACCTGCCTTGGCCTCCCAGAGTGCTAGGATGACAGGCGTGAGCCACCGCCCCCATCTAAAAGTATTGCTTTTTATCTTTTGCAACTTGCTTGATGGGGGACAGAGGAGAGCAGTAGAGGAAGGAAGGAAAATGGAAGGAGCAAAAAGAATAAGAAATAAGGTGGGAAAGAACGAGGCCTAGGAGAACCAGGTGTGCGGTGGAAGCCTGCGGCGAGGAGGAGAGGTGTGAAGGGAAACGGGAGCGGAAGAAGGAAGCACAGTTGGAGCTTTACGAGGAATAAATTACAGTTTTACCATCTAAATAACAACTATGCTTTCTTTTAAAAAATAGACGATAACTGCAAAAAAAAAGCCTAGTTCTACCATCTAAAGATCATCACTCATTCCATATCAGTATCTAAATCTTTGACTCTCTTTTTCTAGGCATAGAAGCATTTTCATTTTTTTTCTCTACATGTTTGTGATCATTTTTCTCCTAAGTAAACAAGATAATGTAATTTTTGTACATTGTTACATACAGAGACCCCCTTAACTGTGTGATATTTCAGGGGTGGCTGTCAGAAAGCACGATAGTACTTTAGAGGGCTGGCTCTGGAACTGATTGTTTGAATTGGAATCTCAGTGCCCACAGTGGAAGGTACATGCCTCTCCGTGCCTCATTTTATCTGAAAAAAGGAAAAAAGGACTGGCACCTGCTTCGTAGGGTTATGAAGATTAAATGTGTTGAAAAATGTGAAAAGCTAAAAAGAAAGAAAAAGAATGAACAATACCTAGAACAGAGTAAGCAGAAACGTGGATATTCCTATATCTGGAATTCTTGTCAAAATTAGCCTTCCCATCCTTCAGTACACATCCTCACATTTCTGCAGCTTCTTCATTTATATTTATCCCTTCATAGATTTGCTAACTAAAATTATATGAATGTTCGAACGGGGAGGGAGACGTCAGGCCAGATTACCTTGTAAAAGGTCTTGCCAGATTATTCTCTTAGCAGTATTATATGAGGGTCTGTGGGGGGGAGAAAAACGGATTTAAAGCTGTGTTAGTAGCTACATGTAGTCTTTTAACTGTATGTTGATAATTCCTACAATCTATGTAGCATGAGTTGAAGACTGACAGCCACCCTGGCCTTAGTGATTTAAGTGAAGTTCATGGGTTTGGGGTCAGACGCCCAGAAGAATGTCTTGGACAGTCATTTGTAGCCGCCACTCCCATCGGTATTGGCTAAAGCACTCTGGGCCCTTTTTATTGTCCTGTCCTTGTGAAACTCAGACGTGCAGTTCAGAAAATCACTTGAAGTTGACAAGGTGAGTTTCTGCATGCTCGCTGCTCCTGACTGTGCTTTGGGAAGTCCGTCCAGGCCCAGAACACAAACCTGGGCCTGCTCTTTCCCAGGGCACATTGATCTCCCTGCGGCTGGGGTGATGGGTTTCACTGTGTTCTACAGACAGTTGAACTAGTGGAGATTCGCGACTGAAAGGACGTGTCTCAGTGAAAGGGAACCCTCTGTGCCTTTCTAGCTACAAATCCCAAATGACACGAGGCAGGAGATCTCAGAAAGGTACCCTCTTCCCATGAGCAGACACAGGGGTTTACTTTGGTGACCACTTCAAAGGGAAACTGGTTCTCAGTTAAAACAAAATAAAGATAAGGGTATAGTAAATCCTTGTCTGAACTAGGTTCCCTCAGAGTTAAATATCAAGAAGCATTTTAATTGTGTTCTAATAAGTAGAATAAGATGAAGTAATGCAAACTTTGAGTCCACCACAGCCTACCCTTCAGTGTGAAGTATCATGGCCAAAAAAAGAGTATTCTATTTTGTAAAAAATGACTAATTAAATTCCAGGAAGGGAAGTGTGTTGAATGAATCTTCTATTTCATTCTCGTTTAAGAGTCCCCTTTCCTTGTTAACAAAAAGTCAAATATTCACATTGATGGGATTAATGATTTTTTTTATTCAAGTGCCATTGGGTCTACGATTTGCAAAATCTGAATTAGTGAAGTCCACATGAATGCTGTGTGGATGCATCTAAGAATACAGAAGAAAAATGAATCAATATAGGAAAATATGTACTTATGAAAGTAGACTGAGCAATATTTCAGAATTGGATTAGG